CCCTCCACCCACCTTCCCCAAGACCAGGGTTCCAGCGCCTATCCATGGGTAGGCTTGATGATGGCGAGGAGACTTTCTCACTTCCCACCCCTCCTGCGGGGCTGAAAGAAATGCCAGTTGCAGTCCCTCACAAATTTCACCTGGATGGTGTTCAACCACCCCTCGCTATTTGTTCCATGCTATTGTGCACAGCAGCCATAAAGACAGAGTACTACGAATTCTTCCATCAGTGCTCACAACCTCCCACACACACTACTCACTATTGCGTCGAGGAGGCGAATACTTGGTGGATTATCAATGAGACACAAGTTCCCTCGTCATCTCGCATCCATCAACACGTCTTGACAGTTGAGTGCAATCGTGGGATGCAATTGGGCGTACACCGAGAAGAGGCATCACCTGTGTCAAGTGCAACCGCACTACCAGCAGCCCCTTCATCATCACTACTGCTACTCTGCCCCCAACTATACAGATTAACGCCTTCAATGTGCAACAAGAAGATGCTTGATGTGAGGGTTCGCCTCCTTGTTTACCTTCTCCCTACTTCTATCACTACTCCCTATCACTCTGGCACAAGCCAGATTTCAAAACAAGTTGCCCTTGTCCCGCAGTACTGCCTTCTGCTGCAGCTCCTAAATGCCGATGCAACCACATTGCCAAACGGCAAAGTTAGTTTAGCATACTACAAAAACTGCCCACAAAATGAAGTCACAAGTGGTTCAATTCTCACCGCCTATTCACCGGTCCGCAGAGCACTTCCAACGAAATGCCCCAATGTGCCGCAATATTTACTCGCGCCATACGTTCGTGCCAAAGACATGCGTGTGAAGGAAGTGAATTCAACACGATGAAACTAGCCAGAGCATCTCCAAGTGCTGCCGTGTGCCGCAAAAGGGAGAATCACAAGTGCTCTGTAAAGGTGAACCTCGTATCCGAAACGGTGGACAGGTGGCCATGGAAGGCGGAGCAAAACACGCAGTGCATTGGAACCTATTCCATCCTACATCATGCAGCATCTTATTTACTTGCCACCACACGGCTATAGTCGTGGCCCCTCAAGGTAACCACTTGTGCTGCATCAATTGAATATCCTCTACTCACTCACTTGCTTGTCCTTCCGCCCATCCTTTTACCTACTGGACATGAAGACGTTCGATGCGATCGTGCACTCCCTGTTGAAGCACCGACCAAAGTACTTTTATCGGTCAATAGAACTGTACGAAAGACTCCTCCAACGCCTCAAACTTCTCCAAGTGCACTCGTCTCCACTAACGAGGTGA